CACCTCGCTTTTCAGACCGATGAGCTTTGTAAAAATCGACACGTTTCAGAAAGGCGGGGCATAGAGGAGAAACAATAATGTACAGTATGTGGAAAATAATGTGTTTTTTGAACCTTAAACCGCATAAACACATTTCATTACACCAAATACACAAAATAATGTTCTTTTTAGCAACATCATATGACCCCTTTAATATATTTTGAATTGTAATTTATTTCTGTGAAGGCAAAGCTGAATTTTCAACAGCCATTATTTCAGCTTTTATTGTCATGTGATCCTTCAGAAATCATTCTAATATGCATTTATTTGAAATGGAAATCTTTTGTAACAATGTTATATTTGAAACAATATAGTTTACTGTCACTTTCAACCAATTTAATGGATTCTTGCTGAATAAAAGTATTAATTTCTTATGAATTAAAAACAAAATCTTACTGACCCCAAACTTTTGAATGTGTACTATTGTGGAGATGATTTTAGCGGCTCTCTCTTCAGTATGATGTTCAAAAATGCACAATAACAAGATGTCCTGCATGCTTAATGGCACTGAGGGTGGGATTTAATTTGATCGTGGGTCAGAAAATGAGCAAATTAGAGCTGGGAATCATTCTTAGTGTTTTTTTCACTTTCAGTCAGATACCAAACTATATTTACAGATATATTATAAATAAATAAAAAATCCTGCCAAAGTGAGGAAATAATCTTCGATGAAAATATGCTTGCTCCTTGTTTTGTTCAAAATGAAATGAATTTTCCAGCATTTAGAAGATCATTTTAGATTACTTTGTTCCCCTACAGTATATGTGATTTTAGACATTATGGAGTTTCCTTGTTCTAGCTTGGGGATTTAACTGTGAATGACATTTATCAGGGTCCCATGACACTTCTACAATCCCATTCTCCTCTCAATCTCAGTAGCGTCTGATAATCCTACACATCCAATGCCAGAAAGCCTGCTGAGCTGACTTCTGTCATCCTTCATCAAAGACTGACTCTCAAGACTAGAGTTATCTGAATGAGATAGAACTGTGGTCTATAAAGAAATAACCATGAGGAACTCTTGGATGACCTCATTAAATACTCCTCATTATCAGTGCTGGAGAGTGACTCCATGTGCTGGAGAATGAAATGCCATGTGACTTGACATGGCATGTTTCTAAGATCACTGGTTTGTGATTTTGATGTGTAGGGTGAGTTTCATTAGAAAAAAGTAAACCTGCCCTTAAATTATAATTTTTATAATCCTAATCAATGTAATAAAAGGTTTGCACGTTAGTGATTAAGACCCAAAGATATTGAGGAGTTTCACCCAGTAATATTACATGCATAGAGCTGGCACTCACCAGCTGGCTGTAGAAATGACCATAACTGAGGTGAAAAGAAGGTGAGAAGAGGAATTTGAAGGGCCATTGATACAATTTTGGTCTATTTGTTCTGTTTAAAGTATGTTTTGTTGAAAATTAAAGGATATTTCTACATTGCATTACCCACATTGTATTTTTGACATTGAGGTGGATTTATAGTGATCTGGCTTGTGGTTTGCAAAATCCAAATGGTATTTTTTCTTTTTATAAACAAATGCTTTTGAGAAATTTCCATTTAAGAAATGTACAGTATAAAGGGCAATGTTGATGTTGAACAATCCTTGTGCATGCACGTCTATTCCTGTTTTGATCGTTCATTATCTTGCATACATAGACTGTAGTAGTAGTCTGATATTGATCGTGTAAATGCCTGTTTTGGCTCTGATCCCTGTGGCTGGTTGTTTGTGGCCCTACACCCAGTATGTGAGTAACAGCATACAGCAGTGCTGAAAGCCTGTAAATGCCTCCCATAAAACAAGAGAAAAGGTTATTGTCAATAGAATTCATTTCAGAATTGTGACTATTCTGGTCAATATATGTAGTTATGCCAGAATGAAAAGGCCTTTTTAGATTTTTTATGTTCTTTGAAAAATGATACAAAAGCATTAAAGTAATAGCATGAATGTTATTGTAGTATGACGCTGAGAGCTGGTGGCATGATTAGAGTATTATGCCGTATTGGTACATCTCTCACCCCCTTTAAACCCCACCTCAACACCATTAATGTCAAAGACAGATGTTTTCAGCAGCAGTTACAGAAAGAGAGAGCAAAATGTTTAGGACGTTTAAGGTCTTTAAATATAATTTAGAAGCTTAAAGCAGAACCACACAAACATCTAAAAGCTGATGCGTTGATGATGAGATTTGGTCTCATCATTTAGTCCAGTTTCTAACAGTTTCATATAAAACTTTGATTATAGAACATCTGTCTAGCCTCATTTAAATTAAAACTCAATTTGAACTCGTCCCGAGTGTTGTTTACTCCATGTAAACACTCCTTTCTGGTATGCCTGTATCATGTGAAAGTTACCAAGGTTTACTAGGTGTTACATGGTCATGACTTTGAAGTTGAAAGATTGGATATAGTTTTACACACACGAGGCCAATAAGCAATTCTATCACGTTAGTTTCATGCCAACATGCATAATGTTTAAGTTACGGTTACTTTTTTTACAGTAAATAATTCAGACTTGTCTCTCAATAAATGTCACTTACAAAGAAAGTACACCAGGCAATAAACTCTAAAACACACTGTTTTAAAATGTATTGCCTGGTGTACTTTCTTTGAAAGTGACATTTATTGAGGGACAAGTCTGAATTATTTACTGTGGTAATCAACATTATGCAGCAAATGCTGTTGGGTACAGCTTAACTTGTGTTGAACCCAGAATGTTGAAAGCGAGTGGACTGCATTGCATGTTTAATCGAAAGCTAGCGCCTGTGTTCTTCACAGTTTTGGTTGCTGTGGCCTCTTTGGCTGAAAAACACAGTAACTGGAAATAGATGTAATGCTGCCTGAGTTTTGTAGCACCAAGAAGGGTAGAGTCAGTAGAGGGGAAATGTAAGGAGTGGAAAGAGAAAACACAGAGACTTTTCCAAACAGTTCATTCTTAGATAATTAGAGCACAACTTTTTATTATGGAAGATTATTTTTGCCCAGATGGAATCTGAAGATGAAATCTACGCTGTTTTTTGCAGAAAATCTGAGGAATTCTGCTGAGTGGATTTAGATAAATGTATTAAATTGAACTTTGAGTACTAGCTACAGAACAGAGAGTATAACTTCTTGGTTGTTGAAAACATAACAGTGAGACACATTTATTAAATGAATGCTCCTGCTATACCCTTAAAAAATACAGGTACTGTTCTTTCTGATCTGTATATCTTTTATTGCTGTTGATTGTTATTTGCTCTGGTATAATGTGGTTTTATGCACTGAAAAAGTGCATATGCCTCGTTACTCTAAAGAACATTTTGTACTTGATCTAACTTAATAAATGTACTTTTCTGTCTTGTCATTGAGCTAAAGTAAAATATTTAGTTAAAGGGATAGTTCACCCAAAAATGAAATTCTGTCATTAATTACTCACCCTCATGTCGTTTCAAACCTGTAAGACCTTTGTTCATCTTCGGAACACAAATTAAGATATTTTTGATGGAATCTGAGACCTGTCTGACCCTGCATAGACAGCAATACAACTGAAATGTTCCCAAGTCCAGAGACGTAGCAAGGAGATCGGTAAAATAATCCATGTGACATCAGTAGTTCAACCGTAATTTTACGAAGCTACGAGAATACTTTGTGTGCAAAAGGAAAAAAAAAAGACTTTATTCAACAATTCGTCTCCTCCGCATCACCCTGTAGCGCCATTTTGGAGAATATCAGCTGGATGTAAACAGCGTATGCTGTTCTGTGTCAGCTGTGTCACGCCGGATCTGTTTCCTACGTTGTTGTGATTTGATCTGAACGAAAACAGTGTATCTGTGTGACGCAGCTGACACAGAACAGCATATGTTGATTACGTCCAGCGGATACTTTCCAAAATGGTGCTACATGGTGATGTGGAGGAGGCGAATTGTTGAGTAAAATCGTTATTTTTTTCTTTTGCGCACAAAAAGTATTCTTGTAGCTTCGTAAAAAATTTGGTTGAACCCCTGATGTCACATGGATTATTTTACAGATCTCCTTGCTACGTTTCTGGACTTGGGAACATTTCAGTTGCGTTGCTGTCTGCAGGGTCAGACAGCTCTCAGATTCAATCAAAAAATATCTTAATTTGTGTTCCGAAGATGAACGAAGGTCTTACGGGTTTGAAACGACATGAGGGTGAGTAATTAATGACAGAATTTTCATTTTTGGGTGAACTAACCCTTTAATTGGAAGTAAAACTAAGTTTTGTTGGTGTAATTTAAACAATTTGCGTCAAATCAAATGACAGTTTTGTGTTCTGTGAAAACCACATGACCACAAGCCCCATGCTTTGATTGGGACTTAATGAAAATAAAAAATTATGAAATTATTTTATGTGTTTCAGCAAGATGAGAAAAGCGAGAGACTTATTGTGTTTAATAGTGTTTAATGTTCAATTATGTTGGAATAATTAGAACCGTTTAAATTACACTGGGTTACCATTGTGGAGAAGAGTGGAGCATTTGCTTAGGCTGTGGACTTGTACAGCACATGCTATTACTGTTTTGCTCAAAGAGCATTTAACACTTAGCATTTACATTTAGCATACTATGTATGTACTATTTAACATGCTATATGTGCTATTTCTAGGTAACTTGTTAGCTACTTAGTACAGTTCTATAATTCAATTATATGACAAAAAAAATTTATAAAATTGAATTAATCCTGTCGGAGAACCACATAAAATAATTTTGAGCCTACTTAATGGGATCACTTTTTTCAGTGTACTTAATATGTACAATTTAGATTTGCATTTATCTGGATATTTGTAAAATGTAAAAGTTTAAATTAATCCAAATTAAATTTAGTGATCATTTGTGGTATAATTATGTAAAAATATATTTGGTTGTAAGTGAATTTTTAGTTTCAGTTGACTATCTAAATTTGATTTGGTCAAACTTCATTTTTTTCAGTTGAGGAAAAAGTGAACCGATTACTTGTAACAAGTTGAAATAATTTTTATTTTGATCTAATGACATTTTTTTTTTTCAGTGATAATGTCTGTCTATATTAGTCTGTCTATTGTATGTTATTACATTTGTGCATTTTAATAACATATTACTAGCAGTGTGAATCTAGCAGGAAATTTCTCTCTTTGATTCAGTTCTGAACAGTTGCTTCTGACAAGAAAAAAAAATGAAATTTTGTTGCCAAATGATGAGATAATCAATAATTAAAAATACATTTAAAACAATTTCTGTAAAAGGTTTGTCACAGACTTTTTAATGACTTTTCACAGTAGAGGTTGCGATGTAATTTCTAATTGTTCATGACACTGGTGTTTTAGAAAAACAAGAAAAAAAAAATGAATATAGAGAGTAAAATCAGGTAATTAATAACACTCCTGAATTACAGAAACTTGCATAACTAAACGTTTTTGGGTGACACTAATAGAGGAGGGCATTCATGTATGTCTGTGTATTTTGACATTGTATATTTACAAAATTCGTTTGTTAAACTTTCAGGTGAATGGAACAGAAGCTGATTATGAATATGAAGAAATTACACTTGAACGGGTAAGATTGCTCAGACAATGACAAAAAAAGTCTGGCTTTTTTCTTTGGTTGACATTTTCTCTTTTTTGTTCTGACATGTGTTTTTCTTTCCCTTCAGGGGAACTCGGGCCTGGGTTTCAGTATTGCAGGCGGTACAGATAACCCCCACATCGGCGAAGACCCGAGCATCTTTATCACCAAGATCATCCCAGGAGGAGCTGCCGCACAGGATGGCAGACTAAGGTCAAAAAATGTGTTATTAGGCCTGTTTCACGTCACACACATAAGCAGCGCATATTTATTTCTGAGCCCATATTAACAAGTTACAAGTTAACATCATAAGCAGCACAGTATTGTGTAGCTGAAGTGGCAGAAGTGTAGTTGTTGGTAGTTTTGACTGCTGAACCTATTTTTGCCACATGTAGAGTGCTGAATTCAGCAGAAAACATGTTGAAAATGCACTGTATATTTATCAACAGAATCTTCTGCAATCTGCTAAGCACACAGGATGCTAGCATACAGGACCGCGTTCCCTCGGGCAATGCCTGGTGTTCATGCTCAAGAACCTTCAGACGCTCACACTCACTTTTTGCACTGAAAGAAGAAAACTTTTGCACTTATTTTTCTGCTCTAGTATGGAAATTCGAAATGGTTTTGCCTGTAAATGCAATACAGGCATTTATAAAGAAACAAAATAATAGTGCACATCTCATACAGTGTTTGGAAAAAATGTATATACTGTTTGGGGTCTTATGCTCACCAAGGCTGCATTTATTTGTTCAAAAATACAATAAAACAGTAATGTTGTGAAATATTATTAACATTACTATTTTGTAACATTACTGTCACTTGACTTTACTATCACTTTAAAACAATTCCCATATCAGTGCTGAATAAAAAGTATTAATTTCTTAAATTAATCCAACACAATCCAAAAACTACTGTTCAAGTTTAATGTTTATTGTAGTATGGTGCAGTTTTTTTATGAATAAATCTGACTTAACCCTGATGATTAAGCAGTTCAAAATCTTCCCTAACTGAGGTTTGGAATTAGTGTAAATTAATGAACATGTGGACAGTAAATATGATTACCCCTCCTCATGTAAATTGAAATCTGAACCTTCTCTTCCTCTCATTATTTACTGGAAAAGTGTGTAATAGTTGTCATTGGCCCACGCCTGATAATAACTGCATATGTTATTACTGTTATAATAGAAAATACTCCGTGTAGTAACCAGAAATCACATACTTTTCTGTATAGACCTGCAGCTCTGTTATGCAGTGTGACAACACAGTTCAACTCTTGTGTTGCAGTTGCGCTGCTGCTTCCCTTACATGCAGCTTGTGTCTGAGGTGTAAAACAGGATTACAATGATAGATCATTTGTTTATAGACTAATTTAGTGTTTTGATTGGTTGTACTTCGAAGAGCACTTTATCATTGTGATTTTTGTCTTTTTTTGGACTGTTTAGTCATTGTTCTCCCTCTTTCCCTCTGTATAGAGTTAATGACTGTATACTGCGGGTAAATGATGTAGATGTGAGAGACGTAACTCACAGCAACGCTGTGGAGGCACTAAAAGAGGCAGGCTGCATTGTCAGACTGTACGTCAGAAGAAGAAAAGCCGTCACGGAAAAAATAATGGATATAAAGCTGGTAAAAGGTCCTAAAGGTAAAGCCATCTCTCATCTAAAGATTGCAAAATAAAAGCATGCTATGCCTTGATGTTTAATCACAAATAGTTTAGCAAATGGTTTAGTCTGACCTCTGTTGACAGGTTTAGGTTTCAGTATAGCCGGAGGAGTTGGAAACCAACATGTTCCTGGGGACAACAGTATTTATATCACCAAAATCATTGAGGGAGGAGCGGCCCACAAAGATGGACGGCTACAGATTGGAGATAAACTTCTGGCCGTAAGTTAAAAGTTAACTTTTCTATTACCTATATTTACTAAATAACATTAGAGAATTCATTTTACATTGATGCAAGGAGGAAATCCAATTTTTTTAAGAGCACTTCGTTTAACGAGATGTACAACCTATTCATTTAGAGCTCCTGCTGCTGACTTTTAATGATAAATATATCCTCTACAATAAACCATTTTAGCAAATAAGCTGTCGCTTTCAACCTGTAGAGAAACATTTGTATCTGGCAGAATGCAATTATACATTCGTTCATTTTTAAAGAAAGACGTCACCCAAAAATGAAGTTCATGCTAATCACTGTTACTGGATCATGAAACGGACCTTTGATTAGTCCTTTTCTGTCATTTGAAGTTTGTACCCTGGCTATATTAAATATTAATACCTTCATGTTTTATATTATAACTTTTCAAAAGTTTAGATTCAGAATTTTTTTTAAGTAAATTGATACTTTTATTCAGCAAGGATTAATTAAATTGATCAAAAGTGCCAGTAAAATGTAAATTCAGTCTCAAATAAATTCTGTTTTAGTAACCATTCTATTCATCAAAAATCCTAAAAAAACTGTAATATGGTTTCCACAAAAATTGTAAGCAGCACAACTGTTTTCAGCAGTATAATAACCAAATTAGCAAATTAGAATGATTTCTGAAGAATCATGTGAAACTGAAGTCTGGAGTAATGGCTGCTAAAAATTCTGCTTTGCCCATTACAAGAATAAATAAAGAATAAATACATTTGACATTATATTAAAACGGTTATTTTAAATTATAATATTTCACAGTATTACTGATTTTACGGTATTTTTGATGAAATAAATACAGTCTTGCTGAGTATAAAAGACTAGTTTCAAAAACATTAAAACATCTTACAGACCTCAAATTTTCATTTTGTGAGTTTCATCTGAAGGTTTCATCTAATCATGTGCTTGGTTATAGGTGAATGCTGTTTGCCTTGAAGAGGTCACTCATGAAGATGCTGTGGCTGCCTTGAAAAACACCCCTGAAGTCGTCTATTTAAAAGTGGCGAAGCCCACTAGTGTCTTTATGAATGATAGTTACGTTCCTCCCGATGTCACCAGCTGTAAGTATGCTTATCTTGAAACATACTGTATTCTTTTTTTTTGTTGTTGTTGTTTTTTAGAAAAAGTCTTTTACTTAGAAAAAAAAGCATGCAGCATATCAATATGGTCAGAGAATGAACCGATTTGCCTTAAAGGCGCTTTGACTCAGTTCTGAGGTCCCATGCGCACTTATGGCTTTTAAATCTCACCTCAAAGCTGCTATAAACAGCACTTTCTACTGATGGGGGCAGCAACTCGTGAGGACGGCCACTAAAATTGACTGTGCAAAGTGCTGAGTGATGACAGTCGATAATGTAGCACCTTGGTGATGTTCCAGAGGCAGGCCAGATCCCCCAGCATTAGATTCTGAGAAAGGAAGCTGTCATTAGGGCTTAAAGGCATGAAGGACAAAAGCACATTTAATCATGAAGTGCATCACGTGGCCAGCTCCCCCATCCAGCAAATCCAGCATCAGTATATGTAGAAATGAGTGAATGTGCGTGTGCAAGTGTTGCAGAGAGAGTTTTAAAGCCTTGTAAGGATATCCGCACATGTAGATAACACTGTCTCGGTCATGTGTGTGCGTGCGTGATGTGATTTTTCTCGGAAGGCGTAAACAGAACAATTTCATTAGTGATCCCATTTCATTATATCTGTCAGCCAGTCACACTCTTAAAAATAAAGGTGCTTCACGATGCCATAGAAGAACCTTTTTGTCTAAATGATTCCATAAAGAACCTTTAACATCTGAAGAACCTTTGTTTCACAAAAGGTTCTTTGTGGCGAAAGAAGATTCTTCAGATTATAAAAAGGTAAGAAAGAGATGGTTCTTTAAAGAACCTTTGACTGAATGGTTCTTTGTGGAACCAAAAATGGTTCTTCTATGGCATCGCTTGAAGAACCTTTTGAAGCACCTTTATTTTTAAGAGTGCAGACACTGCGTAGGGATTTGACACGTGAAGGACTGTTTGATGAGAATTAAATAAATGGGTTGTCGATGTCTGCAGTTAGTAATTGCCCAGTGCGTACCCTTGACTTTATTACACTTTAAGGATACATCTTTCATAGTAGTGACATCAATTAAAGAGCCTTAAAAGGATTTTGCTCACACAAAATAAAAATTCTGCCATTATTTACATTCACATTTGATGCGATTTCAAATTTTCCTTTCTCTTTGGAGTGTTACAAGCTCTTGGTGCATAAAGAAGATCTGTAAAGTTGCAAAGATTAAAGTCTCAAATCCAAAGAGATATTCTTTATAAAAGTTCAGAGTCAGCCACACCTACCTAAAACGGCTCGTTCTAACACGCCCCCACATATCTACCTCACTATGTGGGAAGATTTGCATAACGCCGCCCAAATGTTCACGCAAAGAAAGAAGGCGTAACTTTTAGTCTCACTGTAGTTTTGTTGACGCTGCAGCCATGTCGTGAAGACACTGTGTGCTTCGTTGTGAAAGCGAAACTACTTTGTTTGGTCTTCCAAAAGAGGACACGACTACAAATCAGTGGTTAAGTTGTATTTACAACACTGTTCCAGAACAGTTTAACCCAAATATCCAGATGTGTGCAGTGCATTTTATGGAGGACTGTTTACTGATCCTGGGAGAGTAACGTTAGACTAAAATGCCGGCAGTTCTGACTCACGTAAGTACGTTTTCATTTAAAGGATTTGCCACTGATGATTCAAACGCGAGTTTTGGGCAGTAGAGTAGCACTTGTTGTTTGTCATTTCTCTGATCACAAATGCAGACAGAGTTTTATGTTTACGCGGCGCGATGCAATGCAACGCAACGCGTAAAAAGACAGTATAAGTCATTATAATCAGTAATTATGTCCCCACTGGACGCAACAAATGCCTCGTTTGTAATGGGTTTTAATGTTTTTGTCTCGTTGCTCCGGCCGGGACACGGCATCAACAGTATGTGAGGGGCGTAACATTTCCGTCTCACGCTTGAGGTATTCGGCCAATCACAACGCACTGGATAGCTGGCCAATCACAGCACACCTCGCTTTTTCAGACCGATGAGCTTTGTAAAAATCGACACGTTTCAGAAAGGCGGGGCATAGAGGAGAAACAATAATGTACAGTATGTGGAAAATAATGTGTTTTTTTAACTTTAAACCGCATAAACACATTTCATTACACCAAATACACAAAATAATGCTCTTTTTAGCAGCATCATATGACCCCTTTAATAAATGCTGTTCTTAAGAACCTTCTATTCTTCAAAGAATCCTGAAAAAGATTAATTCAAAATATTAAGCAGCACAACTGTTTTCAACATTGATGATAATATTCTTGAGCACCAAATCAGCATATCAGAATGATTTCTGAAGGATCATGTGACACTAAAGACTGGATTAACTGTTCATGAAAATTCAGCTTTATCATCACAAGAATAAATTGCATTTTAAAATATATTACAATAGAAAACAGTTATTTAAATTGTAATATGTCACAATAGTACAATTTTTATTGTATTTTGACTGACAAATTGCTTTGTCTTTGAATTGTTTTGTTTCTGCTATTTTGTAAGTCTCTTTGGATAAAAGTGTCTTCTAAATGCATGAATGTAAATGTAATTGTTGATCAAATAAATGCAGCCTTGGTGAGCATAAAAGACTTCTTTCAAAAAATAAAATTATAAACATTAAAAGATGGGTAACACTTTACAATAAGGTTCATTAGTTAACATTATCTAACTATATTAGTTAACATGAAGTAAGCATGAACAAACCTTCTACATCATTTATTAATCTTAATGTTAATTCCAACATTTACTAATGCATTATTAAAATCAAAAGTTGTGCTTGTTAACATTAGTTAATGCACTGTGAATTAACATTAACTAAGAAGGAACAACTGTATTTTTATTAACTAACATTAACAAAAATTAATAAATAATGTGCTAAATGTATTGTTCATTGTTTGTTCATTTTAGTTAATACATTAACTAACATTAACTAATGGAACCTTATTGTAAAGTGTTACCAAAAGATCTTACCAACCACAAACTTTTGAACGGCAGTGTACATAAGGGTATATGTAAGCTAATGTGCAAGTAAAGAAAGGGAGTGATCAAATATGATTTACAACATCCTTTCTAGGAGGACTCTTACACAACAATGTATTTCCCCCCCCCCCCAGCAGTTTCAGTCTTCGGCTTGTCTATACATGTAATTATTACATATGTGGCCCTGGACCACAAAACCTAAGTCGCTGGGGTATATTTGTAGCAACAGCCAAAAATACATTGTATGGGTCAAAATTATTGATTTTTCTTTTATGCCAAAAATCATTAGGATATTAAGTAAAGACCATGTTCCATAAAGATATTTTGTAAATTTCCTACTGTAAATATATTAAAGGGGTGGTTCATTGATTTCACTTTTTTAACGTTAGTTAGTGTCTAATGTTGTTATTTGAGCATAAACAATATCTGCAACGTTGCAAAGCTGAAAGTTCAATGCAAACGGAGATATCGTCTTTTAAAATTCTGGTAGTTTAATGCCTACAAAAATGGCTGGTAGGGACTATAACAAGTTACTTCCCGGGTTTATGACATCACAAACCCAGATAAACCCCGCCGCGCTGCTTTAGAGAAGCGAAAGAGAAAACTAGAGGTGCACGTAAAACTCTATTCATATATGAATCACGATTCTGTCTTCTAACGATTCTAATGGATTCACAAGTTTCAAAATCAATGTTCGCTTTATCTGCATCAACATGCTCTGTGTTCTTGTTTCCTTTATCAGGGCAACTACGAATAAGATGCCCGATTTTTTTACAACCAAAACATTTGATCGTCGTATCAGACGATGCAAAGATAGCGTAATCAGAACCATCTATTTTAAATTTAAAAACCAGATCAAGTTCATCTTCGCCATTCTTCAGAATCATAAACACCTGTCTCCTAAAAGACACAAGATGTTTCACTAAAGGTGATTTACATCCGAGCGGAATTTTTTTGATGGGAGAGACTATTCTTCCATATCGTGACAATTCTTGCACGATAACCTCATCTTTCACTATTAGTACTATTTTCTTGGCGGGAGTACTCAAAGGAAACACAGGCGTCAGTGAACCCTTAATTACAACACCATTTTTCACTATGTCATTAGCCTTCTCAATAGTGCTAAAAAAAAGCACAATCGCATTATTCATTCGCGAATCTGACACAATGTTTTCATGACTCACAACATCTCCTACCGCCAAACATACATCCTCCACGCTAACATTAGAATCGATTTTAACTCCATGACGCCGAGTTAAACTTTCAAAAGCCATCGTGTTTGGAGTAGTCATGCTTTCCAGCAAAGTGCT